ACTACCTTGGGTCGTGGGGGCGTTACACCGAAGCATTTGTACTTCAAAATACCAAGTGTTCAGATGAAATAATGTAACACTCTATTTATTGAGGGACATGTTAAGGATGCGGGTTAACTTGGAGCTTATTGACTTAAGATGATGTGGGAGTTGCACCAAATAAAATCTTTGTAGCTCCAATCATTAATATCTATATCAGGACATTAGATCTCACACTTCTACCTATTTGTTGGTTCAACTTGATAGTTGCGTCCTTTCTTGGAGACTGCGTTTCCTATATCACCTAGAAACCGATATCAGTAGGACATCTTTGTCTCAAACATACAGATGCAATGCTCTAAAGTTGATTGATCAAAATCTCAAGACTTCACTTATTTTGATGGTTCATTAGCTATTAAACACTACACGAGAAATGTGTAATGTTTGTATAACTGCTATTGTATTACTTTCTATATGCATGATGAAGTAATTACAAGTCACAGTCATAACTATCACATATTTCATTGTCCCGTGCAACGCACAGGTAAAAGATTTGTTTTATGTTATTTTAGTATCTCTTAGTACACGGCAGGGCCGGCCCTGACATGTAGAAGGCCCCGTGCAAAATTGAATATGAAGCCTCAAGTATAAAACACTATATTAATACGTCCACCGGTTTTAAATAATAGTCTCCTTAGATTTTTTGTGGGTTTAAAGAAGAAAATAGTAGGTGTAGTATAGAGGTGTAAGGTAAATGGAAAAGTAGAAAAGAGAATATATTAAGAAAAGTAAAGTAATGACAAAGTATGAAAATGAAAGTAGTTACAAGCTCGTTCCAAACTGTACGAGGGCTTTGGGCTAATTACTGTAACTAGGCCTTGTGAAATAAAGAATTACACCATTGTAATTAACAATTGCATTTTAATTACATATAAATATTACTATTTAATGATTGTATTTAACGAAGTACTAAGATAGGAATTTTTTAATCAAATAAATAACGATTTATTATATTATACGAAGTATATATAGACTATATTTAAAATTTTGGGCTTTCTGAAATCGAGAGGCCTTGTGCGGTAGCACTTCTTGCACGCCCTCATCTACAGGTACACGGTGATTGAGGAATCTCTTTTATCAGCTCTACCGGTTGATCAAATGAAAACATTAACTTTAATTTCTTAAGATTTTGGTTCAAACTCAATAAATCAACTTAAGCTCACTTGAGTGAAACATAAATATATGTTTGTTGAATAATCGACCGAATTTTAGAGACTTGAGCCTATTTTGAACTGAAATGACTATGCTGAACATATAACTTCAAGTAATTGGAGCTAGATAGTCCCAATATTTAATTTCGTACCCCATTTCATACTTTTGTTTGACATTATTTCAGTCTAGCTTATTTCATCCACTTTGGGGTGAGTTGTATACACAAACACATATCTTCATTCATCAATCATCATTAAATTTGTAATACATAATGGATTATAAACTTACATGCATATCTCAATATGTGTAGTCTTGGTGAGAATAAACGCCCCAACAATATATAATTATTAAACCCTTTTTCTTACTCTTAATTTTGAGTCGCATCATTTAACTTGGAAACACGGTGTACGACGTCGTCAAGAATCAACGACAGGTCATTCAGCTTCCTCATCAGCATATCCACGAAAGCCGCATCCACGTCCCCAATAGCGGCGCGGCACGCGTCAGCCGAAGCCACGGCTCTACCGAGCGCGAACTTCAACGGCTGAGAGTACGATACGGTCAACGGCAACCGGCGGAGCCGGCTGAGGCGGCTGTTCAGCTCGCTCAGGTTTTCGGCGACGCCGTCGGCGCAGGTGCTGAGGCCCACGGCGTTCTCCGGGAACTGGAGGCTTTTGAGGTTGACCAGCTTGCCGACGAACCCCTTGACGGCTTTGACTTCTTGGATACCCAGCGCGATGGCGTCCTGAGCCAGCAGCTTCGGCTCGTCTTTTTGGCGCATGCAGTCTTGGACGTACGACGGAGACCCTCTGCCGGCGGCGGCGGCGGCTCCGCCCAGCAGCGCCAGTGTAGTCAACGAGTAGCTGACGAGAATGACCATAAAGGATGTTTGTTTTGCCGCCATCTTTGATGATTAATAATTTACGAAGTAATGTATCAATATATTTCCAAGGACGTATTAGAGTTATATACTACCTTAGTTGTCTTTATAATGCACCTGCACTCTATTTTAATTATTATTGTATTATGAATTAAATTTAAAAAAATATTATTAAATTCCACTCATTTTAAATTTTAGGAATCAATTATTTCTCTTTTACTAATAAGGAATGAAAAATATTAATGATCAACATTGTGCGTTAACAAACGTGAAAATTGGACCATTGTAATTAAAAAAGATTTTATCGTACTCATAAGGTCCCATATTTTTGTCCACATGACCAATCAGAATGATGCAGTTGAATTATTTAAATCTAAATTAAAAAGGATATAATGATTTGGACCAATCAAATGCATGGTAAGTACGGTACACCATTTTTTAAAAGGGTAGCAGATTTGTCACCTTAAAAGAGAATGAAGGAAGTATATTGGGTCAATTCTTTTTTAGTTAAGTACCTTTTACACCATTCCAATGCTCTACTTAAAGACATTCTATTTAGTTATTTACTAATGTACTCCCTACGTTCTTTTTTTAAATGGAGCATTGGACTTTTTCCATTATTCACATGTTCTACTTTGATTCAATTTTATTTATTAATGTATTATAAATTAAATTTATAAAAAATTGTTAAACTCCTCTGATTTTAAAATTTCAATATCTATTTTTTAAATTTTTTATTAATAACGAATGAAAGATATCAATGGTCAAACTTGTACGTTGTCAAACGTGAAAAGTGCACTATTGTATTTAAAAAAGAACTGAGGAAGTATTACATAAGGAGTGAAAAACTAAACATTGTCAAATTTCCTTCATTTTAAATTCTCAAAATTTGGATTATATTTTATATTTTTGTGCTAGTGAGAAGTGAAATATATTTATGATCAAATTTGTGTGTTGACAAACAGGAAAACTGAATCGTTACAATTAAAAAGGAACGAATGAAGTATATATAATTACATAATACTCAAAAATGAAGTATCCTTTATTTTGAATTCTAGTAAGAACTCTTTAAAACAAGACATTTTTATTATATTACATAAAGACATCATTTAAATTTTGAATAATATACATAAGACACAATGCCTATTCTAAACGAATGAATACGATCAAATGTTGAGATTAGAAGTTCTATTTCGTAAAATATTCTCAATATTAAGAGGGATTACGCTATAATAACTTGCAAGTAAAAATCGAAACTCTTATGCACATATGAATTTCACACTCAATAAATTCGTACACACAAAAAATGCTCTCCGCCGGATTGACGGATTCACCAACAACCTCACAAACACACATTTACTCTCCATTTTCCCGACTGATACACTGATACGTACACCCATGATCCATATGAGCATGTATTAATGATTTTGGAAATATATAGAGTGTAAATCAAATATCATCCAAAAAATGAAGAGCAAAGTCAGCAAACTCTATCTCTCCCAAAACTTTATTACAATAATATGACTTTATATTATATATAAATACAAATATATGTAGATTATATATAAATATAAAAATATAGATGGAACACAAGAGAAGAAATATTTTTTATTAAATTTGGATTATTATGCTTGTTTCTACTATTATTAACATATGAGAAAGGAAATTAATTACTAGATTATAGATCTGACTATGTATAACTTATCTCAATTTTGGGCAGGACTTTTGAAGTTATTCTTTTAATTTGTAACTCTCCAACTTTATATTATATTAGCAGTAATAGATAAAAAAAAATAAAACATCAAATGACATATTTGTTATTAAGTCAGCATTATTACATTTATTCTTACAATTACTTATAACACATTAGAGAGAAGGATCATTATAGGTCTAATCATATACGTACATTTCCGATTCGTCCCTCTAAGATTGTCATAAGAGGGGTAGTGCGATCCGTTATTAAGAAAAATAGAATTAAATGGTTGATATTGATTTTGTAAGGTGTAAATAAAGTATGTAAAAATGACTTGCAATTGCCCAAATATTATCAAATATGATACTACCTCCGTCCTTTTTTAGTTAGTCATCTTTGATTTTTCCATTCAAACATGATAAGCTTTGATACATTATTTTAACTAATATATTTATGTGAAAACTTAATATATTTATACTTTTACGATATTACTTTTAATAAAAAACATTTTCATGTCATTTTTATATTTTCAATATTACAGTGTATAAATTTATAATCGCTCAAAGTTTAACACACTTGACTACATACAAATGGTCGGAGGGAGTATAAAACAAATTTATTGTGACAGGCGAAAAAATTAGAATGAGACAAAGTTATGAGAACAGGGAGAGTATAACTTATAACTACTTAAGAGATTTAAATCATCATCTCATTTAATTTTCAAGAAGAGTTTCTACACATTAATGCATCTTATTATCCTTTATAAACATAAATAAAGTATTGAGTAGACATTATATATATGAACATTAGTCGTTTACTTGACCTAATCAGATCGGCACAATCTTAAATAGATCAAATCATCGCGAACATAAAATTTCAATTCGATAAAAAAAACATTCATAACATCGTCCATTAGTCCAATTTACAAAATGATTTAAAAAGTAAAATGACTCATACGGAATTACGGAGTAAATATTTCAAAAGTTGGGAAGTTCAAAAGTAAAATGATCCTAATAAAAGGGAGACAAACAAGGACTACCAGGTAAATCTATGCACGTACACCCATTTAACAATGGGATTCTATGGTACTCATAAGGTACCATACCTTTGTCTACATGGACCAATACTAATATTGCAGTTGAATTATTTAAATCTAAATTAAAAAGGATATAATGATTTGGACCAATCAAATGCATGTTAGGTACGTGTGCCATTTTTTTAACAAATAAGCCCCACCTCAACACATATAAATTTCGGAGCAGTTAAGGAATAGGCAAAATTTCCAACACGCTCAAGATCTGCTCTTGGAGTATATTGTAACGTAAGAAGATGATGGCTGAAGATCTCGGTGTTGTGGAGGAGGCAGCGGTCCGGGAGGTAGTCAATCTCCTGCCATTAACGGAGCTCCTGCAGTCGGCTTCATCGATCAAATCTGACTACCAGCAGGTTACAAAAAAAGCTACCTATTTTTTGGATCATCATTCTGCTGGTAACTGGTACTACGTACCTGAAATGAAAGGTTCCAAATTAAAGTTTGACTTTTTTGTGTATTTCTTATGCCGATGATAAAGATTTGGTTAGTAAACTGTGCACACAAACATTATTAATTCTTAAGAGCAAAATTTTAAATAGCCCTAGCGGCACCGGTAGCAGTAGCGGCCTGTAGTCGATTGTAGCGGTTGCAGTGATGTGAAATATTTTCAATTGCGGAAAACATAAAAGTATTTTTTTCACATTATTCACACAACATTTAATTTTGAGTTTCACCGCATGCATCACCATTAATGTATTTTTTCACATCATTCACACAACATTTACACAATTACACACTTACACATCAAACAGTTCGTGATGTACTGCCGGAAATGTCAATAGTGGGCCGTAGCGGGCGGCGTAGCAAATTTTTCCCGTGATTTGGAAATCACACACGAATTGAATAGCGGGCCGTAGCGGTAGCGGCCCCTACCGCGACCGCTATATAGCGGCCGCTATAGCGATAGCGGGCCGCTATTTTAAACCATGCTTAAGAGTAATTTAACAGTTACAAGATTGGATTACTTTTATTTCTCTTTTAAAACTTTTTCATATTGCATTAGATACAAGCTAATTCTGACATCATCAAAATTTTGGCCCTTTCTTTGCTTTTCATTTTTATCATTCTCTGTACATATTTTTCATGTTGGGACACGAAATTTTCCAGCTTATGGTAAATCTTTATACCGAGAGGTTCATTCAGTGGCTTCGAAAACTAAGTGATCAAGCAAATAATCTGACAAACATAGATATCTTAAAGGTAATCATGTATAGGGAAAATTGTCACAAATAGGAGTAAACAACTTTGGAAATTAGAAATTAAATTCCAAAATAGGACCACTCTATTTTTCTTCCCGAAATAGGAATCGTTACTGTCACGATTAAAAAATATTGTTATTAATTATAATAAATACTGCCATGTTGAATGCACAGTAGTGCAACTATTTGGCAATCATGACTAAAAGATGACAGTATTTAGTCCTATTTCGGGAAGAAAAAACACAGTAGTCCTATTTTGGAATTCTAAAATCTATCTAGTCCCATTTTGGGAAATCTCCCGTATGTATATCATTAATGGAATTAGGTAACTGGCTGGTTAGTAGAGTACCAAGAGAATCTAATTGCACTTGGAGCTAATGAGTCTTTGGCTCAAGTTTGTTCTGAAAGTGGTTCAATGGACCCCCTCAATCCTCATGAATGCTTATGTTGAGAGAATGCATGCAGCCCACATTTTGTTCATGTGGTCTGCTACAGTGAACAATCATTTATAGTGTACTTGTATGGAGTATTGAATTGTTGGTTATTTAACTTATTCCAAAACACAGAAATGGTATCTGGACATTCTTGAGGCGGATAAAGTACAGCCACCAAAAAACACAGCTGATGGGAAATTGTACACACCTGCTCCTGTTGACCTATTTAGGATCTTAGGAGAGCAAGTGAAAATAGTGCGAGACAATTGTTCTGATGCCATGCTTTACAGAACTGCTTTGGCAATAAATCAGGCAAGTTGAACTTGACAAACCTATTCTCTCTGTATAAGTGGATAGTTTACCTCATTTGGTTCGATGGCTCTCTATTATGTAAGAATGAATTTCTGATCACATGCGTAAACATGCACCAGATATCATATTTATTTGAACTTTTTCCAAATGCCCAATTTAAGGGTTATTTTCTTGTTCCATCCTTATGGCGTCTATTCTGTTACCAAAATGGATTGTTTACTAGAGGGTATAAAAGAATTCATGATTCTGAATTTCTACTCGAGTGAATTCACCTAAATATAAAGCTCTTTTCTTTTTCAGATTTTATGAACAAGTTTTTATTTGACAACCTTTTACAGCCATGAGTTACTCTTTGTTTTCCAGGTAATGATTGACTTTCAAGGAGCTGAAAGAAAGAGATTACAAGAACCTGCATTCGAAGTTGGTTTGAAACCATTATGTGCAATGGTTTGTTAATTTTATTAGATGTTAATTTAATAGATATGTGCATAAAGTTTTGTCATTCACATAAATTGTTGACATATTATTTCTGTAACAGATCAACAATAACCTTCTCTGTTATGATCTTGCTAAGGAGCTAAGTTCTAGCACCATTGAAGCTCTTCCAAAGAATTATGCTCAGCAGGTTATTGCAGTTTCTTCCCTCTTCTCACTTGACATAAATAAATAAGGAAGCAGTTGTATGAAAGGATCCACTGACAACTGTAATGACCTCTAGCATGGTTCATTTTATATGTTATTCGCTCAGCTTAATTTCACCACACTTTCTGCCTGAAAATTTGCACATCATATAGGTTTGATGTAATAGTGGAGCAAGACTTAATTAATTTACATTTTATTACATTGTCATTCTTTGTTTCGAATTAGGACAGTGGATTGTTAATAATGTTCTTTTGAACTGTTGGATCCAAGTAAACGTTTCTCTGATTAGTGCATAAACTCATAACAGAAACTGGAATGTACTAATTATATTTCTTTGAAATATTCACAGAAAATTTTGTTTTCATTTCCTTTTCCAAGTGCTAACTACTTTCCACTGTATTTAATAAAAGGGTATGCATTTTTTCACAGGTCAATTTTAAGGATACTTGCAAAGGATTTCTGGAGGTTGCAAAGGTTAGTGTACCTGGCCTCCCGTTTTCTCCCTAAAGGCCAAGAAAGTGAATTATAGAATTCATAATTAACTTAAATCTCTATCTAGATTCTGTTCATTTGGATGTGACATTTTTCTGTCGACAAATTCAAGTGTATCCTAGTTCAAAATGTAGCATTAATTTTCTTGTGTTCTTTTTTACTACCATCTCATCTTTTTTAATATCGTGGATACTCTTTCATCATATATCAGACATTTGAACATATATTTTGAGTTAATAACTAAAAGATGTGTGACACACTATGTTACCAGGAAACTCTCGGGAAGGAGTACGTTTCCGTTTCCGTTTCTCGTTTCCCATTTCCTTATGATTTTCGCGTTTCCGTGCAACATAGGTGGCTCATAGTTGAATGGAACACGATAACTAAGCATTTAAGTAATTTTCCGAAGAGGCATTGCATGTGTAGTATCCTATCTTCTTTTGTCACCCTTGGATAGTCAGTAAACCAACTTCACTAATTCCAGGAAGCCGTGCATCAAGCTGCCAATGTCATATTTGAAGATCCTGGAGTGCAGCAATTACTTGTTAAACTATATCAGAGTGGAGGTAAGTTAATTTTTTAGATTGCATTTCCCTTAGTACCTATGGTTATCAAACTGGTTTGACATCTATTACTCCGTACTAGATTTTGCTGCCCTGTCTGATTTTGATGTTGATAAAACTAGAGGAAAGACATAGTTCAATGTCATGGGTTTTCATAAAATTGTTGTAATACTATATGACTTAAGAATCAAGATGAAGATATTTCATATCAAAGTTGTATGTTTCCAACTTTGACGAGATTTTCATATTATCCTTTTGAAGCTGTCAATCACAACTTTGATTTTTTTACCTGTTTATTTGGGTCATGGTTTCAGATTGGCTGGATGGGAAAGTTACACATATTCTAGTTGCAACATTTATCGACTATTTCTATGATGTGAAAATGTAAGTTTTCAATATCAATAGCTCTAGCAGATAGGTTCAAGAATCATTATGTTTAAAGAGAAAAAATTGTGTTACTTTCAAAGTAATACAAAGTAAGTGATAAAGAAGTTTCTTGTTGCTCAATTGTTAGATACGCCCAATCTACAGAGTTTTTGAGAACTAGAGATGAGAAGAAACAGTTTATGCAATAACAGTATAACGCTTCGTTGAACAGAAACAATACAAAGGCACTTAAAGAGCGCCAACTCTCCAAGTCTCAAACCTTGGATAATTCCAGCCTGCTCTATTCTATCCTCCTCCCCCCCTTTTATAGTATTCCTATCCTAAAGAGCTGGCCCAAACTCAAGAACTAAAAGACCCAAAACCTCACTTGTAAACTAACACAATCTTTATTATTCTATTATTAGTCTTTATTGTACGGGTTCCTATCATCAATAGATGCACTTAAACAGCTATTTGACATTATCTGTATGTCGCACTAAGGTACATTGAGAAAAGATCATTTAGGAGATTTGTTGAGGCTTGTTTGGAAGAGACAGTAGTTGTTTATGTGGACCATATGCTGATGCAGGTAACTAAGTATAACAGAATTTCTCCAATGAATTACCTTCTATGCTTTTGGCTATCTGTTTTAATAATGCAATTGCTTTAGATGATCTGATTATTCACATATATGATATTGTAGAAAAATTACATCAAGGAGGAAACAATTGAAAGAATGAGGCTAGATGAAAAAGTTCTCATGGCTTTCTTCCAGAAGTACATCATTGTTTCCGTAAGCATAGTCCCTACTTTAACATTGACCACTAGCTTTATGGGAGAAATTTAGAAGTATATACAGTATAATTTATCTAGCCTTTTCTAAAAATGTTGTGCTCGCTTAGCTTTCAGTGTTTAAACTTGAAATGTGATACAAGGTATGTCCTTCTAGGCCTTTACTGATTTGTAGTTTTTATTTTTTATTTTGTATTATTTGGTTACTGCAGAAAGTCAAGAATAGATTAAGGGTTCTTGGTGATTTAAGAGAGCTTGCTTCTTCGGAGAGCCCCAATTCTTTCACACGCGTTTACACAAACATTTTGGAGCATCAACCAGATTGTCCTGTAAGCATTGAAGCAACTATTTGGACATGGAGAAATAATCTGATCAAATAGAAAAAAACAAGTTTATTTATTGAACTGAGGGGCGTGAAGCCACATGATCATGTTGTGATTCATTGAAATGCAGCCAGAGGTAGTTGAGAAGATTCTGGGATTGCGAGAGGGTATATCACGGAAGGTTTCCAAAGCGGTATGCATTTTTGTATATACTATAAAACTATCATCACATGGTCTCAATGAGCTCAACCCTTATCAAGAAATGGGTATTAGAAGAAAAGAAGTACATATAGTTCAAAAAGAATTTGGTGGAAAACAAAAAAATACGTAGTAGTTCTTAATAGTAAAAATCACTTGGATCGTTTTTTTTGGAGAAGCGCTTGGAAGTGCTTATGACAAACATATAAATAAAGCATTTATGTTTTGTAAAAAAAAGCAGTTATGTTATCCTACACAGCATTTGGATTTAGAACTATCGGTTTTCTAATTGAGTTGAACCTTATTATTTTGGAAACTGATAAGTTTTAGTCCGGAATTGTTTTTTAGCTGAAAAGTGATGAATATCACGTGAATAAACTCCGCGAGACTGTATGTTACGAGTGTTACTATGAGGTGTACAAATGTTTTTTGGACTTGTGTCAAACCAAAAAACCGTAACTTTGCTTATCGAACAGGTTATTCAAGAGTGCAAAGAAATATATAAAAGCTCTCTCGTTGATGACAATCCTTCAAAGGCGGGTTTCGATTTTTCCAGAGTGAGGTGCTTGTCACAATTTAGAGGAGTTTCAAACTTGTAGAGAAGGTCGACTTAAGCCTGAAATTATCAGGTTATATAACCCAACCCCCTCTGATTTGTGCTATGGTATGTCAAATGTGTGTTTTGTTCTATATCACACGTAAATAAATATTTACTATGGCTTATTGGGGAAATAATGGACTGTTGAATGATGGAGGTATTGCATTCCTATTTCTTATAGTTATTATGCAAGGTAATTTAGTGAGTTGCCTTTTGTATAAAGTACATATGTGGAAATGATGTTCAGATTCTTTCACATGTTGAGGATTTGGAAGAAAATATCTATGTTGTAAAAACCGGACCGGAGAGTGACCCGGCCACATGACTGGGTCACGGGTCAACCCGGACCCGGTGGGTCAACCCGGTCAACGCCGGAAAACCGGTCAATGACTATACGTCTATGTAATAATAGTAAACATATAATTATATATATAATTATAATAAAAATTAGTTATTATTCATAATAATCAACTTACAATACTACTCCCTCCGTCCCATTTTACTTGTCTTACTTTCCTTTTTGGGTTGTCCCAAAATAAGTGTCTCATTTCCTTTTTTGGAAAGAAATATGTGGTCTACACCATTTCACTTTATTATACTCAAATCTCAACCACAACTTTTACTTTTTCAATCACTTCATTAATAACCGTGCCGAGTCAAACTAAGACACATAAAATGGGACGGAGGTAGTACTTATTAAGCATTTAATACACTCTTATAATATTTCAATGTATATTTTGATCTTATAAAAATAAATAATGATATTTTATTTTTATTGTACATCTATATTATAATTTGGCATGGTGTTCATTCTTAAATAAATATATAAATATATTAGATAGTTTTTCTTTTTAAGGTATTGAAATTGCAATTTTATTGATATAAAAAATGCATTAAAAATAAAAAAGAAATTACTTTTTTTGGTAAAAACACCCAAAAACTGGGTTTTACCGGGTTTTTCGGGTTTCTTGGGTCCAAGTCTTGACTGGGTTTTCCCGGGTCAGCCGAGTTTTTCCGGTTTTTGACCATTTCCGGGTTTTGAAAAAACCGAACTGGTTTTTTGTCCAGGTCACCGGGTTTCGGGTCAACCCGGCCGGGTCGGGTCGGTTTTTTAAACATAGGAAAATATTAGTACCGACTACTGATTAATACGGAGTAGTATTCAAAAAACATGTATCGTAACTTTTATTTTAGGGGGAACTTGACTTTGCACCCCACTTTTTGGATGAAATTAGACTTTGCAACCCATTTAAAAAAAATTTGGATTTTGCACCTCATTTCACTTCAAAATCCTTTGACTTTGCACCCCATTTACAAATCTTCCTTCACAAATTTTATATGATAGGGTGCAAAGTCAAATGTTTTTGAAAATGGGATGCAAAGTCCAATATCATCCAAAAAGTGGGGTGGAAAGTCAAACCCCCCTTTATTTTATTGTGTGCCACAAGCCTAAAGTTGCAGCTATATATTATTATATGTGAAGTACTGAATTGTGCATTTAAAACTTTTATATACTTTTAATGGCATCGAAACAATGGCCTCAATATTAGGATGTTTTTACTTGGACTGTAATTTGCTGGTCTGGTCTGGTCTGGTCTGATCTGGTCTGGTCTGAACTGGTCTGGTCTGGTCTGGTAAGGTCTGGTTTCTTTGTATTTTTATAACTATCCAAGTCTGGTCTGGTCTGGTCTGAACTGGTCTGGTCTGGTCTGGACTGGTCTGGTCTGGTCTGGTCTGGGGCAAATTACAGTCCAAGTAAAAACATCCTTACTTGTGGAGTTTGTGTATACAAAAATATGACTAAGTTTGATGTTGACAAAAATGTGACCATTTATTCTTTTGACCGTTCCATTTCCCAAGCCGTCTCTTCTCTGCTTCGTATCTCCATACGCGATACTCCACACATTGGGCTTTTCATCTTCGATGCCTCACCAATCGCCTGAGCCGCCGGTCATCTGAGCAGTGCCGCCGCCCGCCAGACGTATGTTCATCATCGCCGACTCCAATTGTCACCACATCGTCTCCGCCATTCATCTGCCAATCTGCTTCGATTGGATCTGCTTCAGCCGCGAACCGCCATCTTGTGGTCATGCTTCTGCGTAGGCGATTGCTAGCGGCGGCGGCTCAAAAATTGGGGTTGGGGATGGGGGCCTAAGCAGAGATGGATCCAGGATTCTGAGTCAAGGGGGCGAAATTTTTCGTTAGTGTATGGTGTGAATTTTTTTTTGTTAGTGTAGCGGGGTGAAATTTTATTCCCTAGTATAGCGGGGCGAAATTTTTTCGCTACTGTAGGGCTATGTGACTATTTTTATTCAAAAAATGACATTAATACATGCACATCCCGAACGACATTTAAATCTATTACATTCTCAGTTTAGACGATGACAAAGACATCAACCAATACATTTTTAATAACTTCTACATTGTTTAACCTCATGAATCGGTTATTGAATTGTAATTTTTGTCCACCAAAGAGGGTGTTCGTGAGTCATGACTCATGAGAAGTTTTCTTAATATTACAATAGTAGTATACTAGTATGTATGAGATTGTTATTTTTAGAATAATATGCACCACATACACACACACACATATATGGTGCATATTATATTTTAGTATTTTTATTAATTCTATAATAATTTAGAGTTTATTATCCATGCAATAAATTGTTTTTAGAAAGCTAGAAGTAAATGAATTATGTAATCTAATGTCTATAAATATTTATATTTTGGATTCATTTCACGTGATCTAAAAACTGTGTAATTAGTGTGTCTGGTATTTAATATTGTTTGATATATGTTTTACGAAATCCAGTACTGATTATCTAATAAAGATAATTAAACATTACAAAACTAGTAATTTCTATATAATAAGTATCCTAAATCTTAAATAACGAGTTACTCTATTGTCTATTTGTTTAAGTTATGTGAATTATTTTAGATGTTTCTCCTTTTAAATCTCCAATTAAGTATTACATTATGTAAGACTATATATATTAATTTTGAAAATTAAAAGCTAAGGGGGGCGAATCTAATTAAATTATGAAAGTTTTATGAAAATATTACATATATGGTAAAAAAATTGAATGTCCATGGAGGGCGGCCGCCCCCCTAAATCCATCCCTGGGCCTAAGGCTGTTGGCTATTGGTTGGACGGCGGCCAGGTTACAACGATGGTGGTGAGCTACAGATTGGGGCTAGGGTTGGGAGTGACGATTGGGAGCTCAAGCTGAATGGAGGTGGTGTTGACCGACGGCGCTGGATTCTCTGGTGGTGTTGACTGGCGGCGAGGTAAGGTCGGTGATCTGGCAGCTAGTCGATTGAGGTGTTACGGATGGGGTTTGAAAGCTAAACATCAATTACGCAGTGGATGGGCTTGGGAGGGGGCTGGGGAGGGAGATTGATGATGTGGTGGTGATCGGAGTACATTCCGGCAGGCAGCGTCACTATGATGTGTCACTGTGGCCGGCGGTGGTCTTTGGCCGGAGGATGTCACTATGTTCGTGTCATTGTACGTGTCACAGTGGCAGTGGTGGCAATGTCACTACGGTCGGCGGCAGCAATGACACGTGTGGCGGCGGCGACAGTGACACGCGTGGCAGCAGCGATAGTGACACGCGTAACAGCGGCAGTGACATCTGATTGTGACATGGAAGTGGTGCAGTGACATGAATAATCATCTTAGTCACATATTTGTCTAAATTTAAATGTAATATTCAAAAAAAAAACCCTGCCAAGATTCTTTGGTAACAAGAATCTTTTACCGAGATTCTTTGGTAACAAGAATCTTTAACCCCTATGTATGGTTTTGGTCGGTACAGGTCCGGTCTTGAATCTGATTTTAAAAAAATGGTGCATGAGAATTTTGTAATTGCTATAGAAAACTGCCCTTCTCCTTCGAAGAAATAGTAGAAGAGCTTAATGATGAACATGATAAAATGATAAATGGATGAAGCAATGCAAAGATAGTTCTTTTTTTATTAGGTTAAAGGGTCAACCCTTGAACTGACTTAAAGTGTTCAATTAGCCCCTTATGTAGGAGATTCTGCCCGGCTGTTACTAATTGGGACGGTTCCCGGTGGAATTTTTTGATGAAATTTTTTAAGCATCTTCTTCATTAAGTCTAGTTTACTCATACCAAATTTCAGCTAAAAATTCAACCGGAAAGGCAGTGAAATGATTTTCCGAAATGTACTGCGTTGTTTAACTTCGCAGTTATCTTCAAAAAATAATTTGACTGCCTTCCCGATTGAATTTTAGCTGAAATTTGGTATGAGTAAACTAAACTTAATGGAGAAGATGCTCAAAAAATTTCATCAAAATATTTCACCTGGAATCGCCCCAATTGCCGATGGACGGGCAGAACCTCCTATATAAGGGGCTAATTGAACACTTTTAGTCAGTTCAAGAGCCTATTTGACTCTTTAGCCTTTTTATTATAAGTTTAAGCATGTATGGATTATAGTCTTATTATAGTCTTATTAATATTATATTTATTTAGATAGAATTGCAACAATGAAGTAAATATATAGATATTGTTTATCTGAAATTTATAAGTATTACAAATATCAAAACACAAGTACCCTATAAGATATAATGATGAAATACCCTTTATGTAAGAGCGTGAAGAGACATATATAGTTCACTTAATAAATATATAGATTAGACTACCATTAAATTTATTTATTATTGGTTCTTGTGATTCTCCTATTTAAATATGTATAGATAGTTATTTTTCTAGTAAAAACGTGATTAATAGTCTTTGGGGTAATACATATACTAGGCTCAAAAAACATTATTTTCACATGTCAAAGTCCTAATGTCGTTAACTATATCGAATAAATAGTTATATAGAACTAATTTCGTGCAAGAGTATTGCTCAAAACGTGATTAAGTACACGTTTCGTACTACTAATTGATTAAATGTTGACTGAAGCGGTTAAACTGTCTGAAATATATATGACTAAATTATGATGAAATCTTATTTTAAACATACATAGTATGTTATTAATAAAATACAAGATTTTTTTATGAATAATAAGTAATTCAGCGCAGGAAAAAAATCATGCTTGGTATAAAATTTAGCCGATAAGATGAAAATATGGGTTACCATAAACGCTCTACTACCTTACGCCTTTACATTGAAACTATCAAACATGGGCCGAGTCAGCCGACTTTGTATTCTTAGGGAGTGTTTGCAATTGCTTCAATTTTAAAAAAGTGATTTTTTAAAGTGATTTTGGGAAAAGTGATTAATAGTAAAAGTTGGTAGTGTTTGAGAAAAAAGTGATTCTGGAAAAGTAAAAGTTGGTAGTGTTTGGTAAAATAAGTACTTTTTGTGTAATAGAAAAAGTGAGAAGCAGTTTAAAGAACCCTTCTACCTACTTCCAGCTTTTAGCTTTTAAGTGATTAATTTAAGCAGAAGCTGTCATTTGAAAACACTCTTTTCAACATTTTTTAAGCCAAAAGCTCAAAAGCGTTTTTTTAAAGCAAACTCAAACACTCCTTTAATGTCCTAATATCCTACTTTTTTTGTTCTGTTTATACTAGCTTTTTCCAAATGCTGGACACTCCAGAATCATCCGACAAGTACTTAGGGATGGACAGGGACGGGTCAGCCCGGTACTGTTGAGGCCCGGCCCGACCCGCTACTTTTGAGGCCCGGCCTGGCCCGCTACTTCTGAGGTCCGGCCCCTGACTGAAGCCCGGCCCGGTGGCTATAAAAGCGGGCTTTCGGCTCGTTTTTTTTCTCCCGAGCCGGTCCCGAGATGATTGCACTACTTTTTAATTTTTTTGCCCTATCCCGTCCTGAAGCCCGGCCCGGTCCCTGTACAAATCCGGGTCAGTACCGGGCCTGAAATTCTTAAGCCCGATCCCGGACCAGCCTGGCCCGGCCCGATCGCGGTCGACCCCTACAAGTACTTCACCTCGGGGAAAACAAAGCCCCTATTGGGAGGACTTTCATTCACCAGATAACTTTCGTACACTCTTTTGCACTCCTGAACCACGAAAACCGCCTGATGATTCTACCATATATGCCACAATCCCGTGTTATATACCATCCATTCCTTTTTAATAGTAACAATTCGAATCTAATGTTTACCAATACACAATTTTTACTATTCATATACTTAAATATGTGTAAGTAAAAGTGTAAAAACGCCTAAGAGAGAAGAGATGTTTAGAGCGTTTCTCTAGCCATTCGCGGCTAGACTCTTCCTCCCGAGCTCTCGATCAAGACTCAGGGACAATCACCTTACAAAAAGCAATATGATTCGCTAATCCTATAATGAGCATAACTGAGGCAAAGACGGTCAAAATAGACTATCAATCATCCGACCCAAACTCCAGAATCTCACAGAAGTAAAACAAAAACACAACCAACACAACCAACATGGCATGCATGGAGGAGAATTTGTTAGTGTCCCACTTCTCTTCTGGTTGACAGAAAGGATTGATTTTCAACAATGCCATCAAAGAGGTCGTTGTACTTGTCCTTCAAGTCCTGTTTGTTCTGTCTAGTGTATAACATAGCTCTAATACACCAATTTAGACGTGCACCATTGTCTGAACTATTAATCTCCTACCATTTAAAAAAAAATGTTTAGAAAAAGCAAAAAACATGCTACCAAAAGCTGCACCATACCAAACCATAAGTGAAACTTGTTTATGGAAGTGAAAAATATTGTTGAAGATCACTTCAGATCAAGGTAAAAGGTGAAGTATATCAAGACCTACAGCCCATGAGTTCAACTTTGATTTTAAAGTATATATACCAAGCTGGAGAATGAGATCATGTTCTAAATATAAGAATTACAGACTTTTCATCTATAAACAAAAACCTGGATTAATGCTACTTAAAAAACAAATAAAAAACACCTAAACTTTTTATCAAACATTCCATATGCAGTATAGTTCACTACAAATATAGCTGAGGAAGAAATTCTTATTCCGAATAGGGTGTCTAAGAAAATGAGAAGAGTGAAGCATCTACTGTAAATAAAAGACTGGAATCTATAGATTAAGATATAACGGTCAACATTTCACATTTGCCAATGCACGTCTTTGACCGTAATTATATCTTAATTTCTATTAGTAAAAAATAATTAAAAATCAGATTTGGAAAATTTGTAATGAGATGAAATGAACAATATTTTTTTACAAAAATAATTTTCATAAAATAATACCGTAAAATGTAAACAAAGTAGAACATGTGAATAGTGTAAAATTCAACATGTTGCGATTAAAACACGGAGGATAGTATGTATTTCAAAGAAATCAAGTAAATGAGTAAAAACAGAATCAATATGTTTTTGATACGTTGAGTGAGATGTTTTTATGTCACTGAGGCAAAATCTATTGAGATGTTCTTTTCTTCTTAGAGCCCGTTTGGAGAACTCTGTTTTCGGCTTGTCAGGCTTATCAGCCAGCTTTTTCACCAAACACGTAATTTTTACTTTCGCGCGCTGAATTGTGTAATAAGCCGAAAAAGTAAGGTTGGAGTTACTTTTCTGGCTGTATTGGCTGAAGTTACTGTAGAGGACCATTTTAGCTATTTTTACATATAATTTTTTCTTTAATTTATTAATAAAATATATTTTTAAAATATTTTTTTCTTAAATCAGCAGAATCAGCCAAAACAGCCACTCCAGCCAGAATATCATAAATTTCAGCAAAATCAGCCAAAACAGCTGATTTTGGTGCTACCAAACGGGCTCTTAGAGTTCGGCTGTTTATAATATTATGAAGCCCGTGTTTTTGAACAACACCTATGCATTTCAGCCAAATAGTTCAAATGAAAAGTTCTACTCTTTTATAATTGGACAATATCTTTTTGAAGTATGTAGTTATTTCAAGTATATATAAATGTACATATAACACAAAAACTTAATTACATTATGCTAAAAGGAAGTTTCTTGCTATTTATGAGTTATCACCACTGGTTTTCAATACACATGATCATGCTAATTTTGAATCATAAAAAATGGAAATTAGTTTGAAGGACAGGGTCAAAAAACTGAATGTATGTAATAATTGATTTGCAAATAATGCGACAACCAAGTAATAGTACAACTAATACTTCGTATCAATAAAGCGACCCAACACCACATGAATGCAAACTATGAGTGCTTAGGAATTGTGCTTAGAAAGTGCTCAACCATAAAACCAAAAGAACTTAGTTTATCTGTTGAATTTATTATACGTATCTAGCAAAGTATATCAAAAAATTGATTGCTTAGAATAATAGTACACAGTTACACACATAAATTCCGTTCAATAAAAAACCATTATCTTATTGTTACACTACAAAAAGTAAGAGGGGAAAGTGTCAATTGAGTACACCAACTTGTATGAGGTGGAGTAAAGAGTACAATATATTGCATTTGATCTTTTTAAATACACAAACTCGGATTTTTAGTGTTAATTGAGTACACACGTTAGATTAACACGTTAATACAGCTCAGTTGGCTAACGGAATGGTGAGTAACAAGGGGTGATGGACCAAAGTTATGGCGTCGACCTTCACGAAGTCGACCAAAAAGGAAAAATCAACCTTCGGAGGTCGACCTGCAGGGGCATGGGCCAGCAGGGGTGCATCGACCAAGGATAAGTCAACCTACGGGGGACTGATGTCGACCAAGGAGAAGTCGATGAAGTGGGTGGGGGCTGGCTCGACCTTCAAGAAGTCGACCTATTAGCGTTCTGTTAGCCAACCCAACCGTATTAACGTGTTAATCTAACATGTGTACTCAATTAACACTAAAAACTCAATTTTGTTTACTTAAAAAGATTAAATGCAATATTGTATACTCTTTACTCCACCTCATACAAGTTGATGTATTCAATTGATCCATACCTCCAAGAAGTAATTATATACACACACTAAAGCAACTCAGCAACCATACCGAATTGGTTAAAGATGAATTCAAGCTTATTTCTGAGTCAGTCTCTCAACATCATTATCTCACAAGGTATTCTATAATAAAAGAAACTCATGTCAAGCTTAAAGATTAGTTCTGGGATGAACTCGAATGCCTTAAAAACTGAACAAAGAGATCTTATGAAGAAAATCAGAAAGTAGGGATTTTGGATGAAGGCAGCGGATCTGGAATTGAGAAATGAGGTGACGATGTGCGATTCAGAAAGAGATGTATCTTGACCTTTCAAAGCGATTGAGTGTGCAGTGGATCTGGAATGAAGTCAAAATCCTTTCAATTCCACAAATCGAAAAAGTAATCTGAGCGAAGATGATGAAGACTATGAGCTAAAGATGATGAGCGAAGTGAAAGTGATCGAAGACGATGAGGAAAATGAAAGCCGTATATGTTTTTTCCATCGTACGGCTGAGACGTGTGTTCGGCCATTGAGCGGGAAAATACCCTACTAAAAAAGTAGTGCAATTATGTAGGATTTGTGCATTACCATCCCATTTATGCATGGTTACTCATCAGAGTAACCACAAGAGAAAATTACCAACCGTGTGACTAAAAGAGTGTGTCTTTCCTAAAGTATGACTAGTGGAGTTTTATTCCTATTGTATGACTTGCACATGCTCACGGTTGTGCATGTGGTTTACATTTTTATTTCAATCCCAATAGTGTACTTTCCATTTAATTAATGACATGCTATTTCATCCCACAATAAACGGCTTGGCTAAACGTTTGGCGTAATAGTGTAATAGACTCGTTTGACTTCAGCGTCATAGTTAGTTTGAGCAATAACCGTCGTTATAATTATTAAAATCTCCTAAAAATTAGGAATCAATGAATACAAGGTAACTCTCTCCATTAATTCGGCATTTGTATCTTTATCAACGGAACATGTTCTTTTTCACTGACCGAAACACTTCCTTTTTCACTGATGAATTCCTTCGCCATAGGTTACCCGCCCAGAGATGTCCGGTGTGCATTAATGCCCTCCGTGTGTTATCACTTCAAATTTACGAACTGTCTCCTAGCCGCACACCTCCGTCCCAATCTTGCCGCCGCCTAGCCGTCTACTCCATTCTTATTCATCTTTTTCTTCTTTTCTGTTTTTGAAATTAGGGTTTATTGAAATTAGGATTTGTGGGCATTAAACATGGGCAATAAACATAGGCAGTGAGCATGACCAATGAACATAGCCAGGGGCGGAACCAGGCAGTGGCGGAGCCAGAAGTTCGTGTCAGTGGTGTCAATTTAACAAAACAATACTCCCTCCATCCCGCTATGATTGTCCCATTTTACCATTTCGGTCCGTCCCACTAAGATTGTCTCATACCTTATTTGGTAAAGTTTGTGTGGTTCTAAATCATTCCTACTTTATTCTTACTTTATCAATTCAATATCAACCACATAAACCGACTTTTATTAATAACCGTGCCACCTTCTCTTGTCCCAAACTTAGGGGGACGGAGGTAGTATTATATAATAATGTGTACATATATAAAGCAAAAAAGAAAATATTGTCATTACTCCCTCCGTCCCTTAATTATCTTCAAACTTTCATTTTTCATCCGTCCCAAAATTATCTCCTTTTTCTCCTTTTGGCAAAGAATTTGTGGTTTACAACCATTCTTACACATTTCTCTCTCCTCTGCACAACTCTCCACTACACAAAACCCACTATCTTAATTAGTGTGCCCAGCCGAAATGGGAGAAAAAACAGGGACGAAGGGAGTAGTAAAATAAAGTACTAATTCACAACTGTCCCCGACGCGTTTTCATATTTTGAAAACGTTGTACAATTTTTTCTTTATCAACGTTTTTGAATATATCTTTTTCAATAAAAGTAACTAAGGCATCATTCATCATAGCATCCCCCATTCGATTGTGCAACCTGTTCTTCACGAACTTCATGGCTGAGAAGGCTCTTTCCATAGTTGCAGTGGCCATCGGTAAAAGCAAAGCTAATTTCACAAGTAAAAAAACTAATGGATACACAATATGTTTCTTTGTCTCCACCAATTTTTGAGCAAGAGGACGGGTGGAGCGACCTGCGAACGCCGACTGAGGGTTTCCGATTTCAGCGATTTGGGAATTGGGACTACGACTCACGGCGTTCAATCGTTTTTTTCTTTTTGCAGAGCGGGAGTTGGCGTTCAATCAACCATTTGGGCATAGACTTTTCAATTCTCCTTGACTCCTTTACTGACTTTTCAATTTGGTGTTCCAACTTTTTAAAATTTTAAATTGAGCCCCATTTTTTTAAAATTTATAATTTATGAAAGATTATCTATACCTATATAGAGAATTTTTATTTTTCAGTGGTGTCAATTATAAATTTTAATTTGTTATTTATATACCTACATATGGAAAAAAAAATCAGTGGTGTCAATTGACACCACTGGCCAAAGGGTGGCTCCGCCACTGGAACCAGGGGGAGCGAGCAGGTGCTGCCGCCCCCGTTCGCCGGAGGTAATAGTGTATATATATCTATGTGTATATGTTCAGCCCCTTCTTAGGAAATACCTAAATACTACACGCTCCTTTTTTGTAACAACAGTCCGAGTTGCACAGATGGTAGAAGAATGATTAATGTTTAGGGTGAGGCGCAGGTTTGAGCCCTACTATGTTCTTTTATTACTACGAAGTACAGCATGTATTAAGCTTCATCTGTTAGCTTCTAACTCTTTCTCTTTGAAACCTTATTAGTTTTATAAAAATATTCTACCACACCCAGATTTCTTTTACTTTTATTTTGCATGTTTAGTTTTCAAATTCATAATATATATTTTTTACATATTCCAAAATTGACATGTTATTACATTTTCTGTTTAGTACAATAAACATAAAAAATGATGTATAACTATTTTCTCCATCTTCAAACATTGACATTTACTTCTTATCGATCATCTTATAAGAAGTTTATCAAGATTTTTTAAAGCGAGATGAATTTTAAGATAACTATTTATTTATTCTTTGGTAAGTACACATATGACAAAATTTCTTTTTCATATTTGAAATATCTGACTTATATGTGTATAATTAGATATGTAATGCATTTGCATAAATAAAATAAATATCCTTATAGAAAGATAAATAGCCTAGAAGTACATTGAATAGAAAAGAGAAAAATAAAAGTATTATTTTCTTTGTAAGTGAGTAACTTTATATATATATACACACACACACATAAATGTGTGTGTGTTATTAATTTATCTTCTTCTACCTGTTGTTTAGCTATATTTTCTATTTAAGTTTTGATATTCTAATTTAAAAGGACACATGTATTAAATTGAAATAAACTCGTTTGATAAACAAAGTCTATTATTTGTTTAGACACTAACAAAACAAGTATAAAAATGAATAAATGTGTGTATTTAAGTTGATATGCATGGGCTTGTGTATTAATTATATATATAAATATCCCAATTCAATAAAGTGTCTCTTTATGAAAATGGGAATAACTCTTCTTCCATTAGATTTGAGATCAAATTATCCTAAATATACTAAAAAAACAGTAGGAATTATAGATCTTTCCAAACTCTGCGGTTTGAATTTTTTCCTGCCACCCCTCAAATTTTGGTCTGGTTCTACCACTGAACATAGCAATAATTATGGTTGAGTATGAAAAGCGAATATGACAATGTGTAATAATGTTGTACATGGCAATGAAGGAATGTATTGACGAAAGTATTAATTTTTTTATTTGTTGGTTATTCAATTTGTGTGAAGATAAAAAGTAGAAGTTTACTTTCCTACCATCATATTTATCTAACGGTTGATATTAGTTCATCATTATATTAGAGTTGGTGTAATTTTTGGTAACATTAATTATTGATGTAAATGAGTGAAAAACTTGGTCCATTGAATAACTTTTTAGCAAAAAAGGAGTCACCTCATGCAAAGTGCGGCTCATCATTGATTCTATACATCCTTTACACTACAAAAAAACACGGTGTTAGTCACGGATTTAGTCACGGACCGTAGTATAAAAAATCCGTGACTAACTCTGCTAGTCACGGACTTTGTCCGTGACTAAATCCGTGACTGTTTGGGCGTGACTAATTCTAGTCACGGTCATCTTATCCGTGACTGAGCGTAGTCACGGCTTAGTCACGGACCATTTCCGTGACTAACTTGTCACCGGAATAACCACACCGGCGACTTAGTCACGGCCTTTTCCGTGACTACATATAGTCACGGACTAAATCCGTGACTAAATTTTCAAATTTAAAAAAATTAACCGCCGAATGTTACTGTTTAAATTTTCAAATTTCAAATTTTAGTCACGGACTTGATCCGTGACTACTTTTTTATTTTTTTAAAAAAAATTAAATTTGCAAAATAACTTTTTTAAAAATCGGTCTACAATTTAGTCACGGCTCGGATCCGTGACTAAAGTTTTTTATTTTTAAAATTTTTTTTTTTTTTTTATAAAAAAAATAATTTTTTTTTAATTATTCTTTAGAAAAGTTTATTTTAAAAAATATTTGCATTCATAAAAGTAATAAACAGACTACTAGAACCCACTAGAACACACATTTCATAACCAAACAGACTGAAATAAAAGTAATAATAAGCACAATAGAATTATAGTAAATAAACAATGTTCAAATAAAAATGTATATATTTACAAGCTCCTTCGGCCACCATTATGATAATATCTAGAATCATCATATAGATAATCTTCTTCGTTCTCATCTTCTCGGTTGTCTCCAGCTTGGCCACCGCGACTGCCTCCTCCGCGACTGCCACCTCCGCGACTGCCACCTCCTTGGCTGCCTCCAGATGTTTGAAACAGGTTGTGAAAATTGATATCCTGAATAGATCCAAATGAAGGCAACCCGGTAGCAGAGTTGTTACGGAAATAATCGCCCATGTGCGGAACTTGAGGTGTCTGCTCAGGGTGCAGTACATACGGCTGAGGCTGAGGCTGATTTCGAATTCCGGCGCTGAGGATCCGTTCCATCTCTTCCAGCCGGGCCCTTGTTTCTTCATCTTTTTTGCGTTGCTCCTCCAAGGTGCGCTGCTGCTCAGCCAAGGCCCGCTGCTGCTCCTCCATCTCCCGCTGCATTTGAGCGATACGCGGATCCTCTCCGCGCCTTGATCGGGAAGATGAAGCACCGCTGCGGTCGTACAAGATCCGTTGCCCCTCAGCCCCCATGCACGGGACCCGGCCCTTGTAGACCCCAACTGCCTCAAAGATGGCATCATCCTCCACATCAGAATCAATCTCATCCTCCTGAGTCAAGCCTAATTCTGCCCGCCTCTTCTCAACATTTGTGTTATACTTTGAGTACATGTACAAAAATTGTTAATTTAATGTTACTCAATTTGATTTTGAATGGAAATAAGTAACAAAATAGTGTTACTTACTTCGATTTCAGCGAGGCGGGGTGGCAGATCGGCATCGGACTCATCGCCGTGCTTTGTCCAGCAGTGCTTGATGACCTTGAGAATTGAGACCTTCTTCTTCTCAGGCCCCGACTACAGTTTGGAAAAAAGGCTTAAGATCCATAATTAATTGTTAAAATAAAGGGTTGTAATTGTGTAAGGTTTTTTGAAAAATACTTACAAGATCTTCTTTATGTCTACTCTGAGGTTT